CTGGAATAAAGATGTACCACAGATAGAGCACTTATACACATAAAATACATAAAGATTTTAAAAAATAGCATTTATTTTTTATTTTATGAGTTGGGTAGTGTGCGTGTGTGTGTGTGTGTGTGTGTGTGTGTGTGTGTGTGTGTGTTGTTACCTGCATATATGTGTGAGCATGACATGTGTGCATTGGCCACAGAAAGGGATTTGGCTACCCTGGAACTGAAATTACAGATGGGTGTGAACCATCATGTGGATACTGGGAATCAAACCCAGGTCCTCTGCAAGAACAACAAGTGCTCTTAACCACTGAGCCAACTCTCCAGCCCCAACATTAACACTTTCAAAGAGTATAATTCAGTGGACTTTAATATATTCACAAAAATATAATGTAACAAATTCTGCAATAACTTTATTATCCACAAAAGAAATCCCATACTCACAGTAGTCATTTCTTCTGGCCTCTTTCCAATCCATACTGACTATTAATCTATTTTCCATGTCTATGTGTTGTCTACTTACTGGACATTTTATATAAGGGCATCACACAATGTACATTTGGCCTGTTTCAGAGTGTTTTCACTGTACATAATGTGTTCAAAGTTCACCAGTGCCTAGAAGTACTTTTTTTAGTGACCAATAGCAATGAACCTTATGGACATACTACATTTTGTCTGCTCACTTACCAGATACCAGACAAGGAGTTATCTCTATGTATGCACCACTAAGAATTCTATTGCAGGCTGGCTCCACCAATCCACGAGGCTAGGAATGCTGCTGTGGGCTAGCTCCTAAGGACCCCAGCAGGCTTCTCCCCACCTCCCTGCTGCTTCCCTCAACTTGATAAGTGCTCTGATCACGATTTTCTGTGTCTAAAAAAAGTTCATGAAACAGTTCCCACACCAGAACACGGAACTTGGGGTGGGTGACCCAAGTCTATATCCCCAGGCCATGGTCACTCCTATTTGGTTCCAGAAGACACTCTTAGCTTCTTTGTGGTGAGAGCTGTGTTCCCGCATCAACACTGAGCTCCAATTCCAGACCCTCAACTCTGGTACAAGCCTGCCTGGTAATTTGGACATGCTCACATTTGAGAACCACTAACACAGACACTTCTGTACATCATTACAGACTGGGATTAGCACACAACTGTGGCTCTTCCTGTCTTTTGATTGTCATTTACTTATTTTAAGATAGGGTCTAGGAGCCCAGGCTGGCCTTGAACTCAAAAGGTCTTCCTGCTTCTGTCTCCCAAATGATCACAAACCTGTGACATCACCCCCAAGTAGTCCTTCCAATTCAGAAGCTCCATAATCCCATAGAAAATAAAAATATGATTTATCATCCAAAAAAAAAATTCTATTGCAGGCTGGAAGACCGCTCAGCCTTTGAAGGCTAAGCTCACAACCAAAGAGAGAGGAATTCTGTTGCTTGCCAGGTGGTGGTGGCTCATGGCTTTTATCCCAGCACTCAGGAGACAGGGTAGCCAACCTGGTCTATAGAGTAAGTTCAGAATGCTAGGGCTACATGAGAAACAAAAGAAAAATCTGTTGCTACAAATATTTGTGCATACTTTTGTTTTGCTTTGTTATGTGGTTTGGGGCTTGTTTTGTATTGTTTTGCTGTTAATTTAAGCCTAGGCTGGCCTTGAACCTATGATTATTGCCCTGCTGAGATTCTAAGATTTAGCTACCACACCCAGCTTTCTGTAGAATTTTCCATAAGTAAATTTTCTCTTGGATGGAAGTGCTGAGTCACCTCATCACTGCTAACTTTTAAAGAACCCTCAAAACACTGTCCAGCTGGGGACACACTTCAGCTCATCCAATCCCTGTCCAGATGCACATAACCATGGGTTCAACTCCCAGTACCACATAAAACCAAACAAGGTGCATGCCTTTTATGGCAGCACCTCGGGGGTGGAAGCAGGAAAATCAAAGTCAAGGTCATCTTTGGCTTCAGGAGTTGGACACCAGCCTGGATACATGGAACATGGTCAAAAAAAAGAAGTTTTGGGTGGGGGGGGGAGGAGATGGCATGTTTTAGGTCTTAAACTAATACCTTTGATCCATTTAGTGTGGAATTCTGAATTCAGTGAGATAAAGGGATCTACTTTTATTATTCTCCATGTGGATGTACAGTTTCTCAGCACCATTTATTTAAGAGCTCCAGTGTATATTTTGGTATCTTTGTCAACAATCAGCTGCTTGCTGTACATGCATGAGATCATGTATTCCATCTCCAGGACAAAGGAAAAGGAGGGACAGAGAGATGGTTCCGTAGTTTTAAGTACTTGATGCTCTCACAAAGACCCAGGCTTGGTTCATACTACAAACGGCTACAACTGCAACTCCAGTTCCAGAGGGGCCAATGGCCTCTCAGGACACGGGCACACATGTGGCATACACACACACACACAGACACATAAATAAAAAATCTAAAAGAAAAAAAAGGTTAAGTATGGTGGCGTGGTCTTGCTAAGTTCCTGGCCAGAGAATGACCCTGTCTCAAAAGGAAAGGGAAAAAAATTATCTTGCCACGTTACTGTATGTTCATTTTGTCTAAGAATTTTCAAATAGAGTTTTGAAGTTCTCTTAAGTACAGAATATCAAATGTAAATTTTTCATTTGCATCCCTATAATTTCTCTAACTAAAGCTTCAAGCACGATACTGAACATGGTTGGGGAGAGTGGACACCCTGTCTCCCTCTTGATCTTAGTGGGAATACTTTGTGTTTTATTAAGCATGATGTGTAAACGTCCTGGCTGTCCAGCAACTTGCCCTGTAGACCAGGCTGGACTCAAACTCACAGAGACCCACCTGCCACTACCTCCCCAGTGCTGGAGTGAAAGGCCTGTGACACCATCCAATGGCTTATATTTACTAATTTTATATGCTGAATCATCCCTGCATCTCTGAAATGCATCAAACATCATCTTTGTTTTCCTGTTTTTCTTTTTCTTTTCTTTTTTTTTTTTAAGATTTATTTATTTATTATGTATATAGTGTTCTGTCTGCATATACACCTACAGGCCAGAAGAGGGCACCAGATCTCATTACAAATGGTTGTGAGCCACCATGTGGTTGCTGGGAATTGAACTCAGGACCTTTGGAAGAATAGCTAGTGCTCTTAACCTCTGAGCCATCTCTCCAGCCCTTTTTTTCCGTTTTTTGAGACAGGGTTTCTGTATGTACTTTTGGTGCCTGTCCTAGATCTCACTCTGTAGACCAAGCTGGCGGCAAACTCACAGAGATCCGCCTGGCTCTTCCTCCTGAGTGCTGGGATTAAAGGCGAGTACCACTACTGGCAGGCTCTGTTAACTTATTCTTTTAGAAAAAGTCTCAATATTTGGCCCTGGTTGGTCTAGAACTCACTATCTAGACCATGGTGGTCTTGAATCCAAAGAGACCTACCTGGCACTTATGTGTTTCAATTAAAAAAAAAAGGGGGGGGGGCGGGAGGCATTACTTTCTATTAGAATTTCCTTTTTGGCATTCCCTAGTACATTCCCCTGAGAAGGCAGACTGTCTGGGTGTTTCAGGCCAGCTTGGTCTATAGAGTAAGTTCCAGGACAGACATCACTACACAGAGAGACATTGTCTCAAAATCCCAAACAAATATTGATTAATAAATAATAATAATTATAAAGGAAAAACAAAAACAAAAACACTGCCATTTTTACTTCAGAAAAACCAGCACAATCTAAGGGAGAAATCAAATACAGACAAAGGTGTAACAACTATATAGAAATTTAATCTGTCAGCCCCATCCCCATACCTGAGAGTCTGAAATGAAAAACCCTAAGTTCTTTTCTCCGCAATTCAGAGTCCCGATGCTCACCTGGAAAGAATCCATGCAGACAGGACTAGAAGCCAGCTCCTCATCTACTGCATTTAACTTCTCCATGAAAGCACTATCCCGGGTCTGCTTCGGTTTAGGAGGCGGTGGGGGCCCCATGGGCACTACTTCAGCACTGATGTGCCTCACAGCAGGTGTGGTGACTTTCTCAACCTGATTAAAAAGGACACTGTGTTATGAAGACAGGAAGAGAGGGAAGGTAGGTCTTCGCATGCAGCTAAGGTGGCCATTGTCCTCTTTTCTAGATGTAGACAGGTGAATGGCCATTTCAACACACTGATCTAACTAGGCCTCATCCTATTCAGTGAGAGCAACAGAAAACTGCTTGGCTTTAAAGATAGTACTTAAACATGGGTTGCACACATTGGACCCTTAGTGAGATCTCAGAAAACCTCTTGGACCATGACTAGGTCTCAGTCATCCCTTAGCTTTTCATTCTCTCAAGGGACTTGAAAAGGTGGCAACCCACAATTACCACTGGTAAATCAGCTACTCCTAAGAGAAGCCACAGCTCACACATATGTCCAAGTCTCTCTCGTCTGACGCTGGGTTACCTCTGACAACATGCCACTCTCCTCGTCTGTCTCAGCCACTTCAGAAGACGCTCGCAGTCTGGATCTCTTCACTCCACGTGGAGACGAGGCAGTGCTTTCAACATCACTTTCCAATAAGCTCTAAAACAAACCCAGTGCACGCTCACGTGTGTGCCCCACCTCAGTCCAGAGCACGACTGTCACAACAGAATAAATCATGAAATACCAGTCCCTGGGGACGTGGGCTGCAAGATGGCCAGCAGATGACTAGATGTATGTGACCGAGCCTGACCCCCTGACTTTGACTCCCCAGATGCACATGGTGGAAGGGAAGAATCAACTCTTACCACGTGTCCTCTTATCCCCACAGCAAACGGTGGCATGCACACACAAACGACACACCCCACCCACAGATAACACAGACATACACACGTACACAAGCATGCAGTATGTAAAATAATTATGTAGCCTCATCTTCATTATAAACTGTCAAAGGGTAAGGCATTAACAAAAACCAGAAGGAGAAAAAGAAGACTCTTTTGCAAAGTGTTAGTATCCAAGCATGGTGGCAAACAGCTTCATCCCCAGCACTCAGGTGGCAGAAGCAGGAGGATCTCTATGAGTTTGAGGCTAGCCTGATCTACCGGGGACTCCAGGCCAGTCAGGGCTACATACTGAGACCTTTTCTCAAAACTAAAATAAAATTAAAAATATGACAAAGTCATAACAAAAAAATGAAACCATAGTATACAGAGGTGTCTATTCAGGTGACAGAACTATACAGAAAACAGCAAATAACCATCAAGACATCGGGGTGGCGGTACACTGCATGTTGCTAATACAGCGTCTAGAATACACTGTGTAGCTGAAGATAAACTGAACTCCTGGCCCTCCTAACTCCATTTCCCGAGTGCTGAGATCATAGTATATCCTGGTGTTGTATGTGTTACATTTCATAATGTAAGCTGAAATATGTAGGGGGTTTGAAGAGCAGAAAAACACCTCACAGCAAAGAAATTATTAGAAAAGAGAACCGCGTCTCCATCATCTCTATAGAGTGGTGGCAATACTCAGTCACTAAAGCAGCCATCCTTATCAAGCCCAGCTTTCTTCTGCACTCACAATGAGCCTCACTAACCTCTTCAGCTGTCTCATCCTCCTCCTCTTCATCTGGCTGGTACTCCTCGTCTGAGGAATCATCTTCTTCAAGGTGAATATCCACAAACTGTGGAGGCTGCTTTAATAGAAACACAAAAGATGGCGGGGAGGGGCGCGGCTCAGCAGCCAGAGACACAAGCTCAATGACCGAGTTCAATCCTCAGGACGGTAAGGCAGAAGGAGAGAACCAATTCCCACATGCTATGGCAGGGGCTCCCACCACCCACCACACAAGACAAGTAAGTCAATAGAAAATAACAAAGAGAGAGAAATGGCACAGGGCTGGAGAACAGGAAGCTCAGAGGCAGAATGCATGCTCGCCATGCATAAGGCTCTGGGTTCCAGCAGCAGCAGAGGACAGATGGAAAGAAGGGAGGGAGGGAGGGAGGGAGGGAGGGAGGGAGGAGGGAAGCACAAATCACACAATTTGGAAAAGAAAGTGAAGATATTAGGGGCCGGGGGAGAATTCTGTGAATCTAATGTGCAGTCACATCAAACACCACAGGCAGAGTTTGTATGACTCCATGAGATGCAAGGTGAGGTGTAACACAATGGAAAATCCCAAACCTGTAATAAAAAAAGAAAAAAGGAAAAAGAGGGGGAAAAAAAGGCACGTCTATAATTAGTGTGTACAGAGGAAGTAGTTAGATTTCAAAACTGAAGTATTTTGGGAAAAGAGTAACAATGACATCTCCTAAGTTTACCTTAATTTCATTGGCCTTCTTAATTGGTGAGATATTCCAAGTTGGAATGACCTATCAAAGAGAACATCAGGAATAACATGTAACTGCCCTTCCTTTTCCTGATAATCAGAAAGTCCTATCGACTTAGTCAGTAGCTACAGTGGTCTACAGGTGTCGACTGTCACAGAACATACTATTCTCAAATATCTGTGGGGTTTATAATGCCTCACTTGCAGGACTGAGAGAGGAAGAGAGCCGAAAGCTGAGAGGAACCTGGGCTACACTGTAAGTTCCAGGTCAGCCTGGGTCATAGCGTGGGACCCTGCCTCAACCAACCCTCCACCACCACCACCAGCAGCAGTGGCAGCGGCAAAGCTACACAGAGAGAAAGAAAAAAGCACTAACCAGGATGTGACTTGGTTATTGTCAAGGTTCCTTGGTCCATGCCATGGCACAGCATGAAAAACTAGTGGGGTGGCTCACACTTGTGATCCCACGGATTTTAGGTAAGCATTCTCACACTGAG